TTAAAGAAGAGATTGAACAGCCATTTGTCCAGAATGGCAGAGGGTTTCCTGCTTGAGCAAGGGGTTGGACTAGAAGACCTCCAAGGACCCTTCCAACTTTATCATTCTGTTATTCTGGTCCCACTTTCTGAACCTTCCCAAGCCTACCGAGTGGCTTCCCCTTCTGATATTTAACAGCCATGCCCCATTATCACCGATCGATATTGCCGGTTATTACTTAATGAGTTTAAAACTTGTCATTCTGGAGTTCCTTCCGATCTGCGCATCACGTGGCAGCTAATTGCCACCAAAGTTATTTGGGGCTCTTAATGAAAATGCAAATACGGACGCATTAATCAGACAATTACTTCTTAAGCACGAGACAGGCGACGCTCCACCTAATTAAGAGATAAGCAAAGTTAATCAGGGACCTGACGGCATCAGTTATGAGGACGGATGGGCTGTGAATAGAAATATTAAAGAATGATGGATTCACGGGGAGACCCCCCCCCAATCTGTTTCTTCTCTGAGGCTGATGAAAGGGAGCTAAATGTTGTTATTATTATTATTATTTTGCTTGTTAAAAAAATATCTTCTGTTTTGAAAGTTGAGCCACGGTCAGGGGACAAATCGCTAAAATCAAATCGTCCTCTTCCTCCATTTACACAGGATTCCAAGAAGGAATTAGAACTAAATTCACAAGGTATCGCAGAGTTTAATGGACTGAGGCCGGACGTTTATGTAGCCATTGGCAGAGCGTTATAAATTCTCTTTTTTCTTCCCTTACATAAAAGGGTGCTGAAGGTTCCATTCAACTTTATGTACGTGATTTGAAACTCTACGGGGCTCTGTGGGGCAGGAGGAAGTCTCGGGAAAAATGCCTGAATCTAGAAACGCAGCATCTCAAGGAGAGTGTAACCCCCACACACACCTCTCTGGCACCCGAGTTATTCTATTGAGCGAGCCTACACCCTGCTGTTTGCATAAGGGCGCCTCATAGATTTTTACCCTACTGCAGACACCAGAAATCTATTTTTCAGGAGGTCAAATAGGTCATTAGAGCAGCTGTGTAATCGAAGCTGCACTTTTCTTTATGGGCGTCGCACAAGGAAAAGAAGGAAGGGGGGTTTGTCACAGCAGCCATACTGACTTTTTTGACCGCTCCTTTCCTGCGGACACCATGCTAATCGTTTGCCCCCAAGGGCTGCTAAAATCTTCCTTACAAGCGGAGCAATGTTAAATAAGCTGTTATTTTTACCTTCCTTTGTGGAGTTTTTAAAATAAATAAATAAATAAATAAACTGTCCATCCAAGAAAGGTTTTGCAGGGGTTCAGGCTTCGGGGGTTGGGGGAGAAGTTTTTTTTTTGTAAGTTCGCTTCTCAATGAACGCACAAATACTGCAGAGCCAGGACTGGCCTTTGTCCACCCCCACCTCTAGCAGCGAAGGGATCCGGAATGAAAGAGGGGAGAGCTGGGTTCCAATCGATCGGCGGCCTGGAGGAAAACACGGAGTATCCATGCATAAAAGATAGTCGGGTCTGAAAACCAGGCGGTTTCTGTCAGGGGAGCTCCGCCTGCTGGGCATCGTTTCAATAAAATCAGCATAAAGCACGATCCATATTCAAGGCATGGTGGCCCCAAAGTCTCAGCCTCCTCCCCACTTTTCCAGTTATACATGACATTCGTCTTTGGCTGCACCACCTTGGCTTATAAAAATGCAGATGCTGTCGATAGCAGAGCTCCAGATTTACAAAGCCGGTGGAAAGCTGCACTCCCTGCTGGTCATAATTTATGTTTCTGTTTGTGCTGCATACCAATCCTCTAATAGAACTATGTTTTATATGTATACATATATATATAGTGTATATATATATATATATATATATTGATTCTCCGAAGTAGGCTGAGCAATTTACTGCGACTCGTCTATTTTGCCATCGACAAAACTACCCTGCTTGGTGGTCAAACAAAGAATTCACAAAAGAAAGATTATATTGTGCATGATGGGGGGACTTCAACTCCCAGAATTCTTTTGCCAAAGGAAAATGAAATAAAAAGATCCCTTTTCCTCCCCTCTATATGCCCCCAAGTGTTGGGTCCAGTCTTGGCATTGCTGGGCTGCGACTGCCACCTGCTGTCCATTCTGAGAAAAAGGAACAAGTCGCTCTTTCTTTCTTTCTTTCTTTCTTTCTTTCTTTCTTTCTTTCTTTCTTTCTTTCTTTCTTTCTTTCTTTCTTTCTTTCTTTCTTTCTTTCTTTCTTTCTTTCTTTCTTCCAAAGGACCCTTTGGGGTTCTTTTGACTTCTGCAGAACCCTTTTTTCGGGACACTCTTTCTGAGCCAAAGCAGGATGGTTTGCTGTGAGCTCTCTCGGACTCGACTCTTGGGGGACCCCCGTTCTGTGCTCCCCTTTCAATGACAGGACGCCGTTTCAGAACAATCGTCCTTCTGGGAGACGGTCAGATCACTGGACGGTCAAAAGATTTCAGTGGGTGTTTTGCTCACAGGCAAACCGCAGAGCCTCTGGCTTTACCCAGTAAACGAAGGAAAGGTAACAACTCTCTCTTACCTGATGCAGACTAAGAAAAAGCAAAGGCCGAGGAGGAAGACTCTCCCTCAACCAACAGCATTGAAAAGCGATCCATTTCGGACACCCCCACGAGCTGCACAGAACCTCATAGTCAAATCCGAAGGAAAAGGGACGCCATGGCCTTGGCCGGGGTCAATCCCTTCTCCTTTAGCTCAACCGGAGGCGAGGAAGGGGGAACGCATAGAAAGCAGGAGACACACCAGCCAGCTTCTCCTACGGTTCTCTTTATTACGTCGGGCGTGAGAAGGGCGGCTTGGTGGGGAGTCGGGCGGGAGGGTTACAAGAACATGCGGCGGGAAACCAGGCAGATCCCTCTGTCCTCGGTGAGAGAAGTTGTCAATGTTTGTGTGTCTTGGTGAAGCCATTGCATGCTTACCCACTGAATGCAACTGTGAAGAGAGAAAAGGCGGCGGGGGTGATGGTGGTGGTTGGGTGGGAGGGAGGAGGGGGCCTTTGGGGGGGGGGGGCTCTAAGGGCATGCTTCAATTACAAAGAGAAGGAAGGAGGGAGGGAGGGAGGGAAGGACGTCTTCATTGCAAATGTCCACCAATCGTTGGCTGAAGGGAAGGGGGGTCTTCCAATCAATCGGAAAGGACGACAGGTGTTGCTCTAGTTCTCTGCTAACAGGGACTTCCATACTGTACATACAAAACAGCATTGAAAAAAGGTGTTTTTTTTTGAGAAAACCGAGGGGCTTTGGGGAGGGCAGGGCAGGGGAGCAGCCATTAGTCCCACATGGTCCACCCTGAACCAGTGACCCTCCTTCGGGAAGGCTGGGAAGCAGAATCGTCCCGGGTTTTGAGGCCGGGAGGCGGCCGCTGCCAAGGAGGGAGGCGCTCCCATCTTACGATCAGACGCTTCTTCGCCAGAATCCTATCCGCTCCCTGAAATTCGGCGAGGGATCCAAGACAAAGCGATGCAAAGTCCGAGCGAGAGAGAAGAAAAGCGACTCGGGGGGCGCGTCTTAAAAATGGCATTTGTGGCCCCAACTGGGTGTCGCCCGTGCGCTGTGACCGAACCGTCCTTTCTGGCTGAGGTGGAAGCTCTTGTGAACCGGCCACCAGCTTTGGGAGGCCTGTGGGGGGAGGAAGCAGGCAATCCCCCCCCCCATATCGGAGGCTTTCTACCAAGAAAAATGCCAGGTCCCTCCCGGCGCCATTCCTTTGGCGCCCCTGCCTGGTGACAGGCCCGGTGCTGGGCCCAGCGGTCGGTGGGGAGCCTGCCGGTTGCCACTGGCTTTCTTCTCAAGCCGCCAATCCCTCCAACCTGGGCAAAGGTTGGGAAGCGTGAACGCTGAGGAATGTCAGAGGAGAGGCCTCCATGCAGTGAATGCTCGGCCCTCCAGGACAGACGTGGGCGGGTAAGCTGTGTGTAAGGTGCTTTCAGATGAGCCGGCACTGCTTTCAAGGCGAGAGGCAAAGGAGGGCCTGCCGGCGGATCTGCTTTCCGTCTTGAAGGAGCCCCTCCGGAGGGGAGGGAGGGGGGCCCAAACGCAGGGAAGGCAGGCCTGGGACGCCCGCAGGGCTCCAGCCCCATAAGGCAAAGCTGGGACGGCCTGGACCCCTCCCTTCTCTGAGCACAGGCACAGGGCTGGGGCTGCCGGCTGCCCTGGGCTTCTCTCCTCTCCTGAGCTGCTGCCTCCACCCTCCAAGCAGCCAGGGAACATCAGGAGGAACAGCGGTGGGGGGGAAAGGGGGACTATTGCATGTCGGGAGGGAGGGAGGGAAGGAAGGAAGGAAGGAAAGAAGGAAGGAAGGAAAGGGAAGGAGGGAGGGAAGGAAGGAAGGGAGGGGAAAGAAAGGAAGGGGAAGGGAAGGAAGGAAGGAAGGAAGGAAGGGAGGAAGGAAGGAAGGAAGGAAAGAAAGAAAGAAAGAAAGAAAGAAAGAAAGAAAGAAAGAAAGAAAGGAAGGAAGGGGAAGGGAAGGGGGGAAAGAAGGAAGGAAGGAAGGAAGGACGGACGGACGCAGGGGAAGGGAAGGAGGGAGGGAAGGAAGGAAGGGAAGGGAAAGAAAGGAAGGAAGAAGGGAAGGGAAAGAAGGAAGGAAGGAAGGTGGGTGTTTCAAGAACCTTTGGGAGCACAAGTCTCTTTGGCCAAAGGGGGGGAGGGGGAGATCCAGAGGGCATCGGAAGGGCAGATAATTTAGCCACCGAGGAGCTGAGCCAAACTGAGGGGGCTCAACGCAACTGCTACTGCTGGAAACCCTCGGAGCCCCTTGGGGGAGGCCCTGAGACGCCCCGAACCAAGCAGGGAGGCAGCAGCCGGTGAGAAGACCTGGGCCGGGAGAGGGGAGGGAGGGAGGGAGG